GACTAGAACAACTGGGGATGCCCACGGGCTGTTAGAGGGCTCAATAACACCTCGCTTCAACATGTCGTCAACTTTTTCCGCGATTATGCGACGCTCAGATGCCGATACCCGATACGGACGCTGACGTAAAGGAGCGTGAAGGCCAGTGTCGATTTTATGAGATACTGTGGAAGCACGGCCCACAGACAAATGATAATAAACGTTCAATCAATCAAAAAAAGTTAGTTGCTGGTGGTCGAAGCTGGCGCGGAAGCGCTCGAGGAGGGTGATGATGTCGGTGTGCTGCTGGGCAGTAAGGTTGGTGTCGATTCAGCGCAAAATTGCTTCGGTGAATGATGTGGAATTAGATGACGCGCAGCAATCAACAGCGTCAATAGGTAGCGTAGTCGAGTGGTCAGGAACTACACGTGCACTCGAGGGATCAATGTCATCGGCAAAGCCCAAGCACTCTCCGCACAGTGACTTGGAAGGTGAGGGAAACGGATTTGAAACATAATTTACACTTGATGCGTCGTAAACATTCAGAACGGCGAGAGGAATCAGGAAGCACTTGCGGCGAACAGCGCTTTCAGAAGGCGTACAAAGAACAGTTGAGCCACTAGAGACATCACAGGAAAGCGGAACTAGGGCGGATGAGAACGGGGGTATCAAAGTGTCGGCGGCAACGAAAACTTTTTCAGATAAAAGGGACGAGTCGAGTGAAGCAGCGTCGCATAATGGCGCGAACTCCACTTCGGCGCGAGCACAGTCGAAGACGGCGTGATGAGTGCAGAGAAAGTCCCAGCCTAATATAATGTCATGGAAACACTGCGGGAGCACTACGAACTCGACGACATAAATATTGTCAGCAATAGCGACACGTGCTGTCCATGCAGCAAAAGGGCGAATTCGTTGCTCGCTCGCAGTGCTCAAAACGAAGTCGTGAAGAGGCATTATGACTTTTTTTAGTCGACGGAAAAGTTTTTCAGTCATTACAGACACTTCTGCGCCAGTATCGATCAATGCAAAAACAGGTATGCCTTCAACGGAGGCAGCAACGACGTTGGACGGCGAAAAACAAGGTCTTGTGGAGTTCGAAAGATCCGCAGTTCTTGCCCCCGGAACTGCTGCTCCTAGTTTTCCTCAGGGACAGGGCGAGGTGGACGTAGCATAGGGGAAAAGGAACGGCGGTGAGGTGAAGGCGACCGGTGTCTGTTGATGTTCCGGTGAGGTGAAAATGTGTCCATGGTTGCAGTCTCGCCAGATACAGCAGGCTCTGGTCGTTGTGGGAAATCATGATTGTTGGGCCTGACGTCGTCACGCAGGAAAAACTCACGCCGTCGACAAAATCGAGCCACGAGACCCGCAATTCCACAGGCGAAGCATATGGGGCGGTTGTCTTGAGTGCGCCAAGGGTTTTGAAAGCGCGGAGGTGGTGGTCGGGAGAAAGGACGGGCAGCCTGGTACATAGGCTCAGTCGGTACGACAAAGGGGCGCGTGGACGTAGGCGTTGGCGACAAAGAAACGTGGCCGTTCGCGACAGGCGGACGTCGGGTTCCGTTCAGTGCTTCGGCATACGTCAATGGAGTAGCCACAGGTGGTGCGTGAGCTGTTGGTAGCGCCTCGGACACTTGCTCCTGGACTACTCGCTGTATTGATGGCGCTAAAGTAGATGGGGCACCTTCGAAGGTATAAGGCACGAGGGACAACTGGCGTGCGAACTCCTCTCGTACAAATTGCTTGGTCTCGAGAAGCAAAGTGGTGTGGTCTATAGCAGTGCCGGCCGACGTTAAAGCGGAGATTGTTGCACATGGCACGCTGGCACGACGAGCGGTGTCACGCTGTTTCCAGAGCTCATCATAGCTCTGACAAAGTTGGATCACTTCGGCTACCGTTTGCGGGCTTTTGGCGACAAGCATCTGAAATGCGTCGTCAGTCACGCCTTTCAAGATGTGCTTGATCTTCTCAACTTCTGTCATGGCCGGCAAAGGTCGACCGCATCTTCGATATAACTGGTGTAATTGTCACCATTCTGCTGAGCCCTAGTACGCAAGCGCTGTTCTGCCCGTAGTTTGCGAAGCGCTGGACGGCCAAACAAGTCAGCGAACGCCGTTCGGAAGGCCGACCAGGTGGGGAGGTCTCTCTCGTGATTACGGTACCACAGACTGGCGACGTCGGTCAAATAAAATTGCACGACAGTAAGCTTGTGTGCATCGTCCCACTTGTTGTGCTTGCTCACCCGGTCGTATTCGTCGAGCCAGTCTTCCACGTCTTTGTCATCGGTTCCACTGAAGGTAGGCGGATCGCGTTGCCGAAAGGAGCCGAGACAGACAGGAAGTGCAGTAGTTGGAGCCGAGGCGGCCGCCTGCTGATCGTCGTCCGTGGGCATTGTAGCAACTGGAGGCAACGTACGGTTTCGCAATTCCAGGATTAGGCGTTACCCAGCACCTCCATTAATTATAATGGGGCGTTTTAGAGTGGCACTCTTTTATAAAACAGGAGAGCGGTCACGACACGTCAAGTGGTAATGGCGGAACCAGTCTGAGTACCCAGCCAATCAAACGTCGTCTTCTTCACCGACTGAGTCCACCCCCTGCCTTTCTGAGTAGCACTCATCTTCTTCACCACACATTTAATACATTTCGCTCGGATTCCATGACACCACGTCGCCTCACTTCGAACCTCTAGGCCTCACTCAGCATTCAGCGCAACTGTAGTTCAGCATTGCGCAGTTCTTCCATTGCACTCCACGCATGCAGCACGGCTGCCACTACCATTGCGGTGTCTACACCCACTCAAAACCCTTCTTACCATTCCTGGCATCTAAAATAAGAAAAAGTCGTCACATTGAGCCTTGAAACAGACCACAATATTTTCCTGCAAGAAAAGCACAACCGACGCCTTCACATTTACACGGATGGCTCTGCGTCTTCAGTAAGCTCAGCAGGGGCTGTGCGTATTCCCGCGAGGCACATCACAAACAAATTCATGACATCGCATTAGACGTCGTCGACAGCTGCAGAACTCGCCACCATACGTGAAGCTCTGGAGTTTATATTTGACGAACCTTCGGAAACTTGGTTTATCTTCCCGGAATCGAAGGCAGCTCTCCCATGTCTCATGTCACCCTTTCTCCATTGATCTAATGAACAGTTAGTAGCTTAAGTAAAGCTTCTTCATCACCAAGCAATCGAGAAACAACACAGCATAGTGTATCGGTGAATACCAGGTCATTGCGGTATTTATGACAATGACCACTCATATGAGGCTGCTAGATCTGTACACGACGGTATTTAATACACAGCTATCCCGTTCTCAAGAACCGACGCAGCTACAAGACTTCGTTCGCTCGCACGTGACCTCACACTGGTACAGTGGAACTCGACAGAATTCACAAACGCGCGCCGGCATAACTCGGATCCCGATCTCTAGCTTTCGTTTTCCCTCAGGAATATCTCGAGCTGAGGAGACTCTTCTATACCACCTGTAGCTTAAAGTGGCCTTCCCGAAGGCATACTCCTTTCCTATCTTGTTATAATGCGCAGCTATTCCACATGCGCTCACTGCAGCTGCGAAGAAATCATTGCGTACTTTCTATGTGAGCGCACCCATTTAAACGGGCAAAGACAAGAACTTACTGCAGCTCTGGATAGTAGAGATGACCCGGCTTTGTCGGAACAAAAAATTCTGGGTCGTTGGCTGAGTTTATCCTCAGCTCAGAAGGCTTTGAAAGCTTTGGTACGCTTTTTGCGGACAACTGGCCTCACAGACAGACTTTAGTGTCTTAATCTCTTTGATGTTGCCTTTCCTCTGTCACTATTTATTTCATACTTTCTCTCTCTCTGTCTTTGCAACATTTTTTCCTGTCATCGTTTATTGCCCTCACTCCTTTCCCCAGAAAAGAGTAGCCAGCTGGTCTAAGAACTGGCTGAATTCCCTGTCCTTCCACCTAACTTTTTCCTCTTTTGTCCCAAACCTGCATGTCAATCACATCAACTCACTTTCTGACGCCCATGCGTGAGAGACATCCGGAGTGCTTTCAGAAGAAGCATAGGCAGAAGAAAGTTATTTCAGAAAGAAGAAAATAAAAGGTATACCCATTTTCTGCCTTTCGTCGTGGCGGCATGGCTCAGAGATTTTGTGTATGGGGAATATTAATTTGATAAAACGAAAGAGAGAAGATATATTGAAGGCAGCGATAGATGACGAGAAAGTATCTCGTCAGCCCAGGCCGGAAAGACGAAGTCAAGGCGTTTGTTCAAAGGACGTGATCATCCGCAGAAGCCTCAAACTCCAAAAAAGTTCGCAGGGCTAGTGTACAGGTCCATGTGAGAAAGAAAAAGCCCTCCACAAGCAGGCACGACGATGGTCTGGTGAAATGGCCATGGTGAAGAACCTCTTGGTGCAACTTATTTCATCTTCGTTCACTCTATGAGTTACGCCACTCAGTTCACTAACGGGTGTCGAAGAGGTGTGCTATTAATGAGAAATACAGTACTCAGTCTGGCACCTCAAACAGACACAGAATAGGTAGCAGCCTAGGCTCTAAATAGGCGGCTCGATCATTTCGAAATAACCATAGGATAAGGTTCAGACAGCACTGATGCTTATCCGCTTCGAGGAATTCTCAACCGTAAAGAATACGAATGTTGAAAGTCGACTGCAAGATAATCCCCATACAACTACTTTTGAAATCGAAGGCCTCGTATAGATAACTCGATGACCACAGTCCCATAGGATGTTTTGTATGCATGACACCACCCGTGAAGAGACGCACTGCGGTGTAATTTCAGAATTAAGTGTGGTGAGCCTGATTTATCGCCTATGCGTGGCATTCATGTCATTTTGGTACAGTGAGAAACGGTATTTTGAGCCTTCGACTCAAGAACACCCTTTTTAAAGAATATGTTTCAGACCATTGTCAGTTTTTAATGAATACGTTCATTTTGTGTCACGTTTTCACGGTAATAAGCATAAAAGAAAGCTGATATTGACAAGCATGTCTGAATTATTTCTTTCAGATGTGTATAAGGGTATTTCCCCCATAACCCATCTGCTCACAGACGAGGAAAAACCTGCGTATGATACCTTTATTCGAGATCAAGTCCGAAAGCTGCACGCTCCCGAAGCTGGCAGAGGCCACTACCCAATGTTCGTAGTGAAGGCATCGAAAGCTCCTCCAGAGGATCAATGAAAAATCTCAACGTGAGCAGTCACGTGCGACATGGGCAAGCAAGTCTTAAGAAGGCTCAAGATACCGGCACATCGTTCATGGACACACACGCACGCATATATATATATATATATATATATATATATATATATATATATATATATATTTGTTTATTCAATACTGCAGACACGAGGTCCAAGCAGGGTGGTAATACACATACAAATAAAATAATTGCGAAACGAAACAATAAAAGGGCGAAGAAGGTTGTTGGGTAGGTTAGTTCATTCATCACATGTATTAGTGAGACAGTTCCATTCACATATGGTTCTTGGAAAGTACGAATACTTCAGTAGGTCTGTTCGAGCAAATTATGGGATCAAGGCCTTTGGGTGGTGGTGTCGGGTGGGCCGGCTACTAAGGGGTGTCAAATACGGGGATGGGTCTAGAGCTATTTTTTTGTTCAAACGTTGATCAAGGAATTCTAATCTAGCTTGTTGACTTCGCATCTGCAGTAAGGGAATGTTGTTGGCTAGCATTAAATCTGAGGGTGAGTCTAACTTGGAGTGTATATATATATATATATATATATATATATATATATATATATATATATATATATATATATATATATATATATATATATATATATATATATATATATATATATATATATATATATAATCAGGACAAGTATAGGAGAAACGGAATAGGATAGATCGCATGTTGGCAGGTATTAGGCCTGCTTTAAGAGATAAAAACAGGGTAAGACTTTTTAGCAACTTATGGCTCAAATGGTTCCAGGTTTTACTTTTGCGTACTTTTGTCTAATCTTTGTCTCTCCGAGAGAACAATTGCTATTTCATGACAAAACTCTGGAGTTTCACATATATACATGCGAAAATTAATTTTGATTGCGATATGAACAAACACTAAGCCGCACTGCTCTGTCGAGGAGCATGACAGTACATTCATTGCCGACAATGGCCCGCGTATTGCACCTGTGTGTACTAAGTTGATATCAGAATACATATGAGGCGTCAAGATTGATGAGAAAGGATAGATGCATAAAAAATGAACTAAGAATTGTCTTTGTCCGCAATCTGAGCGTTGTTTATTGACTCCAAGGAAGAGTGTGGTTGAGTGACATGGAGGGTTTCATTGAACTTGTAGTGAGAGTAGTCTTAACTGAAAAGAAAAAAAATTAATTGGTGTACGCAAATCGCCGACTTGCTGTTCTCTGGGGTTTGGTGACTGGAAATTTATAGGAAGACGAATATAAGTAAAGAAGACATAAAATGCTTAGATAAACAAAAATTAAACACAAAAGAGTCTGACTTTGTGCCTCTTTGTCGGGGACATGCAGTGATATAGCGTTTACAAGGTGGCAATGAAGTTTGGCGAGCTGAACGATACTCTCTGAGTACTACTCTTTTGTAACCTGAAGAAGGCGAAAGGGCCTAAGACAGAGCAAAACAATGAAGTGTTTTTGTTTATCCGGCGCATGCAATGTTCATACAGCGCCCGCTCATCGGTACACGCTTGATACTACAAAAGACATAGGTCTCACAGTTTTGATGATAGTTGTTGCATTATGGCCTTGCTGTTTGACTGAAGCGGTATACCTTAAACATCTTACACAGGCAGTGCTTAGGCGAGGACGACGGTAAGTAGTTTCCACATGCCCAGGAATCCCGTGGGGCTGCCACGGTGTCTTCCCTACCCTTTCATTCTAATTCTTTTCAGCGCGTGGGTCAGCCCAGATAACTACCTTTTCTTCATTTTTTCTTCTTGAAAGACCAAGCCCCATCATGCCGGATCGCAAATGGTGCATATTTAAATCTTTCCGCAATTTGACAGTGATGACGCTAACTTTATTCGTTCTTCAATGTGACATGCTACAATTGCTTCTTTCGGCTTCCATCGTCCTGCAAGGTGCGCTAGAAGGTGGACCCGAGGTAATCTTTAATGATATATAAGTTTGTGCTGCTCCTACTATGTCTATAGTGCAGGAGATCATGTTTTAATAGTAGCTACGCTACTGTAGTTTAGAAATGACGAGCTCTACATCCACCGAGAATGTGACCACAAGCCCCTTACTGCATGGTGGTCAATTCGGGTGACGACCATGCATACTTGTTGAACTAAAATTGTCATTTTTTTTACTTTCTGAGGAGAAAATAGTTTCCTTCATGATATTTTGCCATTTTGTTTCAATAAAGCTCTGTGTCCTGCCAAAAGTAGAGTATCTGTGCATGAAAGAGTTAAACGCTGTTGACGGTCGGCAGACAAAAAAATTGGCCCCGTATCTGCATCTTAACTGCAAATGTCATCGAAAGACGATGGTATTGCTTGTGGGGAGAATGAGGAAAATATTTATTTGATGTTCTGCGCAATCTAATTGGCGAATGGTATTCTGGAGGTGCTGCGTTAGAGTGCCTCGAGTGAGCAGCGGAGGCGAACGAGTGCATCAAGTCACGTCACACGTGAGACATAAGCGCCAACATGGCAGTTTTCTTAGAAAACAAAGCGCGTGGCTCTGAGACGGGTGTGCGCGCCCGTTCCAGTGGTGATAAGTTGTAGAACACAAAGCGACGGGTAGGTGCCACCATGGTCTCGTCTTAGCAAAGCGTTGGAAACACTCGCCTTTTCGTGCAAGCGTTGCATGGTCAGCGCAGCGTGATAAGCATTACGGTCCTTAAAATTACTTATGTATGCCTTTCTTTAGTAAAAGACGCACGTGCACAATATATACGTGTTGTTATGGTGCCCCAGACACGCGCAATAATCGCTTTTTAATTGACACTTCCACAAGTATGAACGCTACACCTTGAGCAACATTGGTGGGCCCTGCAGATGGGGTCAGCCATTTCAAGTACCCGATGCGGTTAAGAGTGTACAAACAGACAAATGTACAGACATACAGACAGACAGACCAAAATTTTTGCGTCGAATGTTCCCAAGACAGACTATCGTCTTTAAAACTTTCAAGTCGCACACCGTACTGCAGGACGCAGAACAATGTCAACCTTTCTGATTGGAAATGGTGCCAAATCTTGTAGATGATAATCGAAACCAACTGACGGTGATGCTGCGGGATGTTGATCACACTGTTCTAACTCTACTTTAATTACGAAAGTAAGCTAGACGAAAAGACAGCTTGCCACTGGTACGTTCGTACTATGGCATCAGCATGTTTTTTTTTTGCACGCTTGTTTCTTTACGTTGAATAAACATTACTAATGGCAACAATAAATATCATATAACATTTCATATACCTTCTTTATCATCCTTATGCTTAAGTTTTAATCAAGGTTATATCAACAAAAGAAACGAGCCCTCAGAATCGTTCCTTTCTGTTGACCTTGTAGATATTGTGGTGCATGTGAACGTTAGCTCGATGCCAGGCATCTGAAAACTCTAAGATAGTGTTTGTCTACCTTGGTGTTTTTTTATCAATAGAGCTATTCATTCATCATGCTGGAGCCTTTATTTTCACGTGCAGATAGTTGGTGGTGTCACGAAAGTCAAAAACATTGTCGAAGTCCACCCAAGGTATACCACCCGCAATGGCACAGTACTTCAGCAGTGGATCCGCTCATTCGTACTGCCGACAAAACAGCGACAACGTATGTTTCTGCGTTGAAGCCTATACGCAAAACGCAACCTGCTAAAGTGAAAGTACAGAAAGCTTGACCTCAAGGTTAGTCAACTGGCTCTAAGCAAAGAGCCAGAGACCCTTCGCAACGGTTCCTCTATGTCGGCGGCAGAACCGGGGGACTTCACGCGGAGCATTTCGCTGCAGGGGAGTTCCCTTTCTGCGCCGAATGATCGGCGTCGACTGTTCTGAAAATATACTTGAATACGCGAGACGCAGCTAAGCCCACACGAAGATCATGTTCTCAGTGCTCGACATATGTGCCAATGTCACCAATTTTGATGAGGTAGCGTTAATGTGTTCTTTTAGTAGATATTCCGGCGTCGGAGTCAGCGTTGCTGGTAGTGAGCAAAAAATCATCTTGCGCCAGACCAAGAATCAGAAAGATGAAAATAAAATAGATCGGAAAATTCTGAATCAGATGGGAGTCAAACCCTGAACTTTTGCAGGGCAAGCGGGTTTTCTACCACACAGCCATACCTCTATTTGCGAATGCAGTAAAAATAACTTCTTATACTTAGAAATTCACCGAATATAACTTTCATGCTTTAAAATACACGCGTCCTGTACACTTCCCAATGCAACATGAAACATTGCACTAATATTGCGTGGTACAAGCGCCCACTGCCACTGGATGTCAGAACATGTGATTATCATAATGACTTTATGATTCAAAGTTGGTCCCCTACTACACAAAGCACATACGTTACGGCACCCTTAAGGTCATGTATAAGGTACATAGCGAGTTCGAAAAGAATTCCTGCAGTAAGTGCTTGAAGTGCTAGTAGTGCTAGAAGAGATTGGCCAGTTCAAAAGTGCGTATACTCTTTCTTTTCAATCCAATGGCTCGATGGCACGCAGGCAGCGTTCCAGAACATCAGCAGGCTTATGTCACCTGTGTGGGAAAACATGTCCGTCTTCTGCGCAGCGGCACAACCAACTAAGGTTTGTAGTGTCAGCAGGAATAAATCAGTGGGTGACCAATTTGAAAATAGATCTAAAGAAGACTCCTGGATTTGGCCTGTGATCTCACGACACGGTCCAACCAAACATGACCGATCGCCAACGTCACATGTGGACAGTCTATGAGTCGCAAATATCTTGAAAAAACACACCGCGTAAGGGAAAACGCGATAGGGTGGCTACGCCTAAATACTGCGTCGTGTCCTTAGCTGCCCGAGGCTGCATCCAGCCGGCACAATCAGCGTAGGAGGTGCATGAAAATCGAGAACAAGAGCCGCACGTCTCATGCACCTTTTGACAGGAATAGCGTGGTACAGAGTTCGCCATTGCTATTCAGAGGTCTGCCATTACTCTCCCCAAACGTTTGTCGGAATATGTATGCCACGCGGGTTAATCGCCGCGTGACGCGAGAGTAGGTGCGTTCATCGCGCACCTGCAGAATCTCCTTCATGGACTCCATCACGTGATTGCTGATATAACGTACGGCCAAAG